CTGCAATGTTATAAAATTTATGTCAATCCAAGTTTATATTATTACTGTGGTGGATGGTGGTGCAATTCAATATTAGATGGATAGAATAAAGTGGTCATGTAGGCAGGTGTTCCCATTGGTCCAGTACTTTAGATCTGGTGTCTGGATATAGTCAAGTCAAATGCCTAGACTATGTTGACGAAGTCTTAGGTCACAATTTCAATCCTATGGTTAAGAGATTGAAAATGGCACTCCAGAGGATAAAAAGACAAGCTTGAAATTGAAGCAGGAAAATGTGTACTTTTTGCGTTATGCTACTGACAATTTGTGGCCAACTTCTCCAAAATTCTTGCTCCACTTTTGACCCTCAATGAAATTTAAGCAAATTTTACATATAAAAAGCATTCCAATTTCTGAATCACGTTTAGGGGAAGCCACATTACTGGATTATCCATAAAAGACTGTGAATGCTTGTTAGATACTAACGCCAATGATAGTGGAATTAGAGGAGGATGAAGTAGATCAAGTAATCACATGTGCTAATTTCATGCTCAATGATCCCATATACACATACTATATGATTAAGAATGAACTGTTAGCAGTTGTAGTTTCCTTGAAACATTATTGACACTACTTGTATGGTAGACAGTTCATTATTAAGGTGGACCATGTGTCAATGAACCGGTTGATGAACTTTAAAAATCCAGAAGGAATGACTTAACTCTAGGTAATAGCATTAAAGTAGTATGATTTAGCCATATTGCACTGTCAAGGACCATAACAATGAAAAACTGGCAGTATACCCCACCATAAGCTATAAGGTATACACCACCGTTTATTGACTTTCCTGATCCTGGACACCATGTGGGAGTTGAAACCATTTCTTCCATGGTAACGTCGAATCATTCAATAAGTAGCTGTTTTCAATAATGGGTGAATGCCACAATTAACATTTTGGGAGCTCTGAAAAGAGTAACTGAAGGACCCAGATCAAGCACGAGTGCTTTTTTACTTTGCAGCAAGATAAAGTTTCTGATTGACGAATGTAGCACAGAAGCATGTTACCTGTGGCACTTTAATGAGCAATTATGAGTGCAGGAATGTGTATTGTACCACTGATATAAAACATTGAGCCATAATTTTCAGGATATATTGTAACTAGTTGTATTCAGATCCCTAAGACAAAACATTCTCCAGACTTTGTATAACACAAATATTGGAGAACACTGAAGCGGTTTTTCTGGCAACATTTAAGTTGAAGTGTTCAGTACTGGTGTAAACACTGTATGATGCGTGCCATCCAGAAAAAAAGTCAACAAAAACAGGGTAAAATCCGTCAGAGAATTGTTGGTTCTCCATTACAGAGATACCCTGGATACTGGTATTCCACTTATTAGGTTATCAGAATTAGGTTATCAGTATATACTTCTGACTATCAACTACATTACACAATAGGTCAAGGCGTATTCATTGGTAGACATATTGGCACACTCTATAAATGGTGCATTGGTGAAGCACTGGATAGCATGTTTTGGTGACGCAAAACATTTAATATGATTCAAGGAGCTGACTTCAACAGCCAACTAAAGTGTTGGGTGTGGTGAAGATGCATACTTCACCTTATTTACTCCAGTCTGATGGTTTGGGAGAATGAGTGACCCAGACTATAGACAATAGGCTATAGATACAACAACTCAGCCAAAAGGGCATCACAAATCTTGCTTTCTGAGCTATTGAGCATAATGTCTCTGATATATCCACTGGATATTGAGCGATAGCTGCTTTATCACCATAAGTTAGAACGGTTTGCTGATTGTTAAATTGATGGGACTGAAAGTGTTTAGTAACCTTTGCTTTCTGAGTTATCAAAAAGTTTTACAATAAGAGATATCCATGATATATCGGGTGATAGCTGATCAATTATTATAAGTTAGCGTGGTTACGTGATTGAAAAAATCAATAACTGAAAGGGTGTTGCGGCCCTTTCTTTTTAAGTTATTGAATGATTATCGAGGTGAAATGCCATCTAATATTTAGAGAAAATCACTCACGTGATCTAGCTTAGTGGAGAAAGCACTATGGAACATATTGCATGACTCTTGCTAGATCCTCTTTGGTACACTTAATGTTTTTACATTACATCTGCACTTACAATGAAGGAACTGTGTTTCCTTTGAGTGTATATATATATATTGTTGCGGCATAAAAATTAATTCTTTGTGATAAAAGTTCTACCTGAAAAAGCTTAGTTTAGCTGAATTTTTCTAGTGATTACTTATTTCTTGATGCCTGAAATGAAAACCCGTTGAGTTAGATGATTTTTAGATAGTATCAAATTACACCCCACAATGACTACTAAAGTAATTTGTGCATAAGTTGGAAGCAGTCTGTTATAAGAAACTGGTATATGTGACACTGTAATGGTGAAATATCTATTTCGCAGTATAAGTGTATAAATAAATATGTGTGTGTGTGTGTCGTACCTAACATAGGTGTGTAAATATTGCTATACAGTCATTCGTGAGTGTTGAATAACTCAAATAGATCAGTCCACTAATAAAACAACTGTTAATTAACCTATAAATGAAAATATAACACTTTCCTCTGAATATTAAGACTTTATTATATGAAATTAACTGCAATTACTGACTTGAAAAGTATTATTGGAAGATTCAGAGAACCTACGATTTTCGTTAATATTAGTGAGTAAATGTTTTAATATTGACATAAAAATATTGAACAGGAAGTGAATGTTCATAAAAAATAAAAGTAATAAGGAAACTCACACTACCTCTGAGAGAAAACACAGTTTTTAGACAAATTATGATTAAATTTTCAGTCCTTTTGGCGATTCTTAAGTAGCCTGGGGCTAGCTTAACACTTGGATTGGCATATCCATTGATGACGATTCATTGCTGAATGATACAATAGATGCTTGGAATCTTGCCAAATAAATTAACAGACTGACTCTTAAGCCACTCCAGCCTGCCATGTCAAGGATTCTAAAGTGTACCCAGCCACAGGAGACCTTACTCCATCAGTACTCGCTACTCAAGCTGAACTAAGCATTGAAATGAATCAGCCAGAAGTCACCACTCCACAGGCAACATCGGTACCAATGAAGGAGATCACCGATCCCCTAATATGGCATCAGTTTCAGTCAGTAAGTTGTCCTTGTCAGAGTATACACCAAGATCAAAAAACACCATGGCACCTCTTATGGGACAATTATATTTTTAAACCAAAAAAAAAAATCGTTCGAGGGCTGAGATCTTCCCAGAAGTCAACCAGTTACCAGACTGATCTTCTTGAGCTATGATTAAAGGCTCAGTAACGGGTAACCACTGAACACCGACAACAATGGTCTCAACAGTGCATCCACACTACCACCACCAGTAGTCCTGTGGTCTACCTCAGGTGTACCTGAGACTAGAATTCCTCACTGTCTCACCTACAACCATTACCATCTCACCAACGATAAACTATACTCCAGTGCTTATAAATCATTGCCTCAAACAAGTTACAAATGTGGCTGTTGGTGTTTATAATCATATACAATGATAAATGTACTTAGCCTGCGCAAAGCTGAGTGTGTGAATAGATATATGCTGTAATGGACAGTATGGATAGTAATCGAAGTTAGATTTTAGCTGAAAAGTCTTAATTGGGCTACATTTTACCTGCAGTTATCTATTCTATTATGCTAAGAAAATGTTTGTCAAGATTATTGGCTTACAGATAGTGGCATGATTGGGTAGCAGTCCTATTGAGACATAACTAGTGGGAGAGCCAGCTAAGTTTGTCATGGTTATGTGCTGGAGTTATCAACAGTCTCTCAGATACTATAAGTACACATAATATGTGATGTATATATATATATATGTGTGTATACACACCCACACACACGTATATAGTATTATACTTATATGGCCATTTGTGTATGGCGTAGCACATATATGTGGATATTACGTGACGCTAGTAACACGTCATATTCTCGAAGGTTCGTGAATCCTCGAGTGTTTACTAGATTTGCGGTATTCTTATATATATATATATAAGACCGC